AATAATGAATTAGCTCCAGTGAACGGTTTACTATATTCACAATGCAGATGAGCAGAGGATACAGGATTGGAAACAGCACAACTTTATAACCCTAAAGATGAGCACACATTGTCTTGGTGGTTTGATTATATATATTATTAGATGCTATTAAAGGTCTTTTCCCCTATTTTTTTTTAAAGGACTGTGAACTAATAAAACAAAGCTCTATTATAAGAACTCATGAGTGAGTGTTAAAGACAAAAGTTCAGGTTCCAAGTCCAAAGACAATAAAAGTCATGACAGCATAAATAATAATATAATGTACCTCCACTATCAAGTCACTATCACCAGAGCAACAACAGCAATCACTGTAAATTGCTTTTTAAAGTGTCTAGAGATTGTTAAAATATATATATAGAGAAAAATATGCATCTACTAAATGACAGTGAACAAAAAAAAAAATATTGAACTTGAACAAATTAAGTTAATATATTAAACTTAAAAGTATTATTGTATGAATATTGGATCATCATTATAAACTAATAATATTCATCAATAACCATAAAACAATGATAATAATTTACCTTTATGTTACAAAACAACGCTGGCTTGGGTTTCTTTATGTCTTTGGCGTATATGTCCATGTTTTCCTATAAAAGGTGAAGTTGGTTGTTAGGCTTGTTTCGACAAGGATGAACTAGACACGTTTCCACATCGGTGATCGTCTATGGGGGATTATATGACCATTATCAGTGATGTCACGAGCCCCGCCCAGTACTCACAGACTCCGCCCACTGATCCACGCGCGATTGTTTTGGTGATAGTCCCCCCCCACCTCTCATTTCCTCATATTACACGGACTTACTGCACACTCGGTAAGGAATCTGTGCAAACACGTATCATAAACAGTGTAAATCATTTAACTGGATTCAGTTTAATGACACCGGAGAACAGGAGTATAGGCCACTTTTGCTTTTCGGTTTGTAAGCATGGCGTTATTTCACTGAATTCGCATTTGTAATAATTTATTTGACATAAGTGTTTCTTACTCATTTCTAAAATAACGTTATCTATTATCAAATTCCATATTTTAAAATAATATACTTTTTAAATATGACGAAAATATGAAAATGATGACGTTTAAGATGAGTAGATCCAGTGATCTGTGAACAGATATAGGCTAGCCCATTTAAAATGTGTAGAAATTGTATAAAAATTATAAAACTATTTGTAAATTAGCTTTTCTTTATTTCTGAATATGGTACATTAATTACATGTACGCATAACTGAAGAATAATAATGCTGATTAAACAGTAGCAGGCCTACATCTTTTTGTTTACTCAGGGTCCGCTATACAGTATGTTAATTTAACTAAAACATACACATATGGCAAAACTGACCCAAATAATGGTATTAATATAATACACCTGAACACCTGCAAAATAAATCCAAAAACTTTATATTGCATTATCTATTTGAACTCCAAATCACTGTTTATTAAGGGAGTTAAGACAAAATTGTTGCTATTTGCATGCTATAATCATTTAGTTCTTTCTTAAGGACTTGGTATCAGTAATTACATAGTAGCCGTCTTTGTGAGTTTTAAATTGAAGTGGTCTGTGCGTCTGATTTTTGCTCCACTGCTTTTACAGTAGCAAATCTTCAATAGTTTTTAACAGCACTTTCAAATAAAGTCACAATGAACTCCTGAATCAGGATATGACAGGCAGACACCACACAGTTGCTGGAGCATGAGTTGTTTACAATGACATTCCAAAGCACAATTAAGGCTTGGAGGTGTTATGCTGTAGGCCTACTCTTTGCCTAACAGAATAGAAACTTGCAGTGTAATTACGACCAAACCAGAAAGTCCAATTCTCCTACTCTAATGCTCACTGTGTCATACTGACGTTCATGACCGAAGCCCATGTGAGTCTTTGTCCATTACTGCACTATAGGGGTCAAAGTCCTACAACCTGATACAAGCAGAAGACATTTTCTGTATTGCAAGATATATTGAAAAATGTTTTCTTTAATTTACCTTTAGAGGTTTAGAATTTTCTAATGGCCTTCCCCTGGGCCTCAAGTCTCCATTGTTCTGTAGTCAAGTGAAGCGAAACCTTGGAAATGAGTAAGATTTGGCACAAGAGATCTCACGGAAGTGGCCATAAATGTTACATCACAGCTACGTCTCATTGAAATTCATTGTTGTAACATTGTTTTTTTTCTGACAAGTTTCCAAGAAGTACTTAGACTGCCATTATTACAGAGCTATTCTAGGGATAGTTTACCCCAAAATAAAAAGTTGTCATTTACTTCCAGTCATTTATTACACGTTGTTGCAAACCTGGGACTTATTTTTTTGCCTGCGGAGCACAATAAAACAAAAGTCCGTGGGGTCCATGTGGTTTGGACTTCAGCATTTTTCTAAATATCATATTTTGTGTTCTGCAGGAAGAAAAAAAATGGATAGCTCACCCAAAAATGAAAATTCTGTCATCAATTGCTCACCCTCAGGTTTTGCTCATCTTGAAGATATTTTAATGAAACCTGAGATTGTTGTCCCTCGGTTCAAAGTCAATCCCCCTAAAATGTTCATGCTTCCAAAAGTTCTTAAAACACTGTAAAAGTAATCAATTTATTTAAAGTTTAATTCAAGTCTTCTGAAGAGACGCCGCCACTTTAAATGATGAACAGATTTAATTGCAGTGCTGCAGCAGAGTGAGATTATTGCTCTTAAATTCAGATAATTTCACCTCTTAATGGTGTTTTTAACTGTACTGGGTTAAGCTAATGTTTTGATGTAGGGGGCTGATTGATAGCCTGCAGTATAGGCTGAAGTTATTCAGTATAATGCAAATTCTGTTATACGAACATTTCACCATATAGACCATTTTAGCATCTTATTTATATTTCAGATAAATCAAGAATGTTTACACTGACAAATATAAAACTTTTGATGTGTTTTTATGTGTTATTGTTTTTAGAGTTGCTAGGCACCACCAAAAAGTACATGCAGATCCAGTAGCTAGAGCAGCAGGGAAACGAGAACGGATTGTAGTTGTCATTAGCAATAGCAGCTTACTACCGTTTCTGGACAGAATGTTTCTCCTCCCTCTGTTCAAGAGAGACCATTGAGGAGACTCTCCACCCAAAATACCCATCCTGATAAAGTCGTGTTGGCATTCATAAATACAGCAGCAAGCAGTAATTTTTGGGCCCAAGTACGTCAGATGCAAAGTGACAAGCTAAGCAAGCATGGCAGGGAGCATCAGAACAGTACAATGAAAGGCTTGCTATTTTTCAACATCTGCTTTTGCTGTCATTTACTCAGCAATATTATTAAAACTAGTTAAATGATATAGAATAACACCAAAAATATTACAATACTAATACTCTTTCCATTTTTGACAAAAAAAAAAGCGTTTCAGCATAACATTATGTAATAATGAAACATTTATTCGGACCTGTATTTCTAAAAATATAAAATAATTTCACTTCCTTACAAAAACTTCTTGACAAATGGGTTAAACCTAGTGGTTTGAAGGATAGTGATGAAATCTAAAGTTTTAAAATTATTATTTAAGTTCATATTTTGAGACTGAGCTGTGATCCTTAAATAGTCTTCTTGTTCTAAATATGCCTAAAGAATTTTTTTATTTTACATATAAAATAATTACACTGAATGGCATTTTAGTGGGTGCATATCATGGTAAAAAAGACAACAACAAAACAGGACATTCTAATGGTTGGGGGAAAAAAGTAAGTTACATTACACTTATTTATGTTTGATGCTTGAAAACCCTTTTCCTCATTGACCAATAAACACTGATCAACACACTTAAATAGAGCACATCAAATATGGCAAACGTAAGCTTGATTGTACTTGCTTGATGTCCAAGAACCAATGATGTTTTGTTTAACTTGGATTTCTTGTACGATCTCTTTATGAACATTTAAAAGACTGAACGTTTTGGGGGAATGGACTTTTAATGAAGGGACAGAAATCTCTTGTTTTCATAAAAAAAAAAAAAAATCCTAAAAAAGTGTTTCAAAGATAAACAAAAGCCTTGAGTTTGGAATGACACGAAGGTGTGCAAATGACAGATTTTTGATTTTTCATTCAACAATGGAGACCGTCATTGTAGAGCTCCATTAAAGTGAAATGCTATACCAGCAATAATACTGTGAAATTGGCATCATATGATAGAGAATAGAAATTTTAGAACAAGCATTCAAGTGATCATCTACTTAAAACACAATTAATCATTTTTTAAAAAGCTTATTGTAAGCTAGTACCTGAACAAAAGGTTAACACTCCCCACAGTGCCTTCTTTTGAAATCTTACCATGGAAAAAAGAAAGGAGTGGCTATGAAAATACAGGTCAGTTATACCAGACACATTATTTTTTTCTTAAGAAACAATATCTAACCTTTTATATTGCTACATTGCTACGTAGATAGGTGTGCATGCATTTATATAAGTTTAAGACACATTTGTTGAATATATTTTGCCATTAGCAAAGATTAAACTGTATATTATACAGAATAAAGCATGTCAGAACCAGGGAAAGAAAAACAATATCTCCGAATAGTGTGATAATTTGTCTAAGCCACTACTCCAATTTAAGACTAAGCATATTCAGCCTTCAAAAAAAAAAAAGTGACTTTCCATTACACCATTACATAAAACGGAAAACTTTTAGAGGTTTTACCCTCTTTGTGGGTGCAACAAACCAACAGATGTTTTCTTTTTCTTTGCATGACATCAAAAACAATAAAAAGAAACATAAGTTATATCATAGCTTTAGAAATGCTAATATTTCTTTACAATTATATATACAAGGTGTACTTTTATATTAAAATGCCATCAGAAATGCAGTGAAACGTACCATCATGCATTTAATAAAAAACATTTGAAATTGCTAACTTTCAGCTATGAAAAAAATATAGTTCACCGATAGAATCAGTAGTTAAGCTTCAAAAAACAAAAAAACAACCTGTCAAATTACAGTGAATAAAGATTGCACAAATATGTAGTCTGCCAGCCCACAAATTACTGATAGCCTTTTGGCTGCTCTGTCAATGTTTAAAAGCACAACACTTATGACACCAGAGTAGGGGAAACTATTGCAACATTGTTCCATTCAGAATAGTTCACAACAGCTTTGATCACTAAAAATAGATGCTTCTATTGTATCAATTATTAAGAGGGGTCGAAAAAGTTTGCATATAGGTTTAAAACCATCCTCCAGACCAAATCATACATTAAAGGCAACAAACACCAACACTAAAACTGAGATCCCGTTTTATTTAGAGGCCTCATTTAATTGATAGGTATGAATTCAGTTTACACAAAACCCTTTAAAAAAGTCAACATGCAGTGATCACAAGGATAGAAAGAAGAGCCTATAGATGGAGAACAAAGGATCTGAAATTGTGCCTAGGCCGTACACTTCAAATATTCACAGTGACTCATGTTTCTTTTCTTGTCCATGTATTCATACGGATTTAAACATACAAGGAAGGCATTGTTCTGACACAGAACAGTCAAACATCAAAAGCTTTAGGAATTTGAAAAAAACCCTGTACCAAAGTCCAGTTTGACTTGCAGGATCCCAACATGCTGCTTCAAACCTCCATGACCACCTCATAATTTAAGGAGGTAAAGCTTATGGTCAGCTGTAGGGCTCCACCATCTTTAGTCCCAAAAGGGAAAAAAAAAAAAAACTTGCCTTTTTCTGAATCTAGTTTACGTACCAATAGCCGTGCCAAGGATGAGGCATTTTTTCTGCACATTTAATGCAGCGGAGACCTGTTCTCTCTTTTTAAAACAAATAAATGCAAGACCAAATGCAGTGGAGATGAAGCCCCTCTCACTGAAGTCTATGAAAATCTATGTACAGATTACTCCGAGCAATATTTAAAATATCCAAAAGGAAATTACCAGACCTTTAGGTCAATTTCTTGTCATTTCTATTATTATGAAAAAGAAAAAAAGCTTCTTCGTGAATCAAAGAGAACAGCAGCTTCCTGTGGACACCCGAATACCAGCATTCCAAACAAGTGTGGATGATATTCATGAGAATCCGAAACGGTCCTTGATATTCACGCAGCTGTGATATACAAAAGATACTGACCTCCAAACCAAGCCACATTTCATATCGCATGAAACAAAAGCACTTTACAAAAATCTTATAAAGTAAGGCACTGCATTAACTTTCACTCTCTGGAATAGTGCTGTTCAACAACTCAAGTTTAGACGTAGGCCCCTAAAGCTGCGTGGAACTCAGTGAGGCATTGGACGAGCTGTTGGAATTTTGGTCTCTCCTCCGGATCCAAGGCCCAGCAACAGGCCATCACTGCAAATCTGAAACAGAGAACATCTTCATATAAACAAAACATTTACTTTTATCAGATCGGTTGACTGATGAAGCCGTAGCAGATTGGTCAAAGAAGAAAAAAGACTTATTGGTCTTGATTACAGTTGACAGCAGCAACGTTTGAAAAGGGCTTGAGTGAAAGTTGAGATCGCCTTATCGCTCAGTTTCTATTCAGGCTTTCCAACACACAAGGCAAGCCGCAGAACACATATTCATCACTTATTCTCTGGAGGGAAAGGGTGCGAAGCTGTGATCCAATGCTGATTAGCTTTTCCTGCGTTCTCTAAACTGTGTTCCGGTGAGTGTGCATAAGACAATAAATCTTGCTGTGTTTGGGTCACTGACATGGTCAACAGCGCTCGTTACTTTGTCATTCCTGGCTGGTCCGGTCACCACGGCTCCGGTTCCCTAGCTATTGCAGGATGCCGATAAGGTTGAGATTGTGCGGACTTGTTGTATTCGGATCAAACTGTCCATTTCATTTTCTAAAGGTTGCCTTACAAATTCATCAAGATTTAAGAAAGCAGTTGTTACTGATACTTTGGGAGCACTGCCAGTCACTCAGTAACACAAGTTCACAAGAGTTTATTTCTTTTGCAATATTAAAGGGATAGTTCACCCAAAAATGAAAATTATGTCATCATTTACTCACCCTCATGTCGTTCCAAACCTGTATGAGTTGCCTTCTTATGTTGAACATAAAAGAAGATATTTTGAAGATTGCTGGTAATCAAACAGTTGGTGGTTGCCATTGACTTCCATAGAATTTTATTTTTCCTACTATGGAAGTCAATGGTAACCACCAACTGTTTGATTACCAGCCATCTTCAAAATATCTTCTTTTATGTTCAACATAAGAAGGCAACTCATACAGGTTTGGAACGACATGAGGGTGAGTAAATGATGACATAATTTTCATTTTTGGGTGAACTATCCCTTTAACTCTGCACATGTTATTTTAAAAGAAATATTTATTCTGAAATGTATTCAAATACAGAAGTTAAATGTTTGAACCAAACTCACAGTTCATCGGGGCAGTTGATGGGTTGTGCTATTCTGTAGCCGTCCTTCAGATAGGCAGCCATCTCGAAGGGGTCGATGTCAACATAAGGAGTCTGTCCCAAGGTCATCAGCTCCCAGAGAGTAACCCCAAAAGCCCACTGTAAGGAAGCAACACGCAAGAGCTCAGAGCAGGCTGACTGAAATAGAAAGATGATCCCTCCCTTTCGACAAGTGATGAGATCACTTGAGCCGGACGTTATTTAGTAAACAAACCGATAGTGTTTACAGATCAGTATTTGAATGCAGAAAGAAATTCCTATTAAAATCTTCATATAGGACATATGGGAAGCTTCTTGGAGAGTTTCACAGATGATGGGGGGAGTCAGAATCCAGGTATTTATGATCAAATAAGAATAAGATGTTTTTAAAAATGCTGTTTTTAAGATTCATGTTCACAACATCTTTAAGAACAATTTATTAGTGCTATTTTTAAATCAAAACATGAATAAACATTTCAAAATATAATCCTTAGTTAATAAAAATTACTTGGTTTTAAGTTGTTTTATTATTATTATCCATTTATATTAATATAAAATTATATTTATTAATATAAAACTGGTCAAATAAATAATTATTGGCTTATCTGCATCAGTCAGAATTTTAAATGTCAGTGCATTCCTTAAAACGGAGAATCATGACAAATCATGTAACTGCAGAAACGCATATAAATATGAGACTGTTCCAAAAGGAAAAAAAGGGCCCCATCTTGATTTGCTTGAGCCATGAGGTCCCCGTTAGGACATTTTAGGGCCACTGGAAGTATTCTGGAAACAAAGCATTCCAGTAACACAAAAGAAGGAAATGTGGTTTCTTTCCATTGATTTTGGATACAATCACAGCTTGTTCACAGAGACATTTAAGACGCTTCAAATCTAATAAATAAGCCGCCATGCTGATTTAACATGCATAAAGATGTTTGTTCTACATCATTAGCTATGAAACAAACTGAAGTGCAAATTAGTGTAATTACAGCTCTTGTTATAAATAATGTTCAAGTCAATCAAGTTGATTAGATGTCAGTCAATAATCTTGGATATAAAAAGCAACGCGACTATAAGCTGCATTACTTTCAGTGCAAACAGTTCTATGTGTGTCTGCCCTTCAGGGAGATGTGTTGGAAAATGCTAAACAGTAAAAGTACTGTAAAAAAAAAACTATGTTTGCGCTTGAGGGCAATACACTTGACTGCAGAACGCGCTTGAAATTAATTCTCCCTATTCACTAAAAGACAATCATGCCCATCTTTCCTTTCTAGACATTTAAAAACAGACAGGCTTCTTTACATATAAAAGGATGTTGTCTTCCGCACTTAATGTGTTTTTTGTTTGTTGGTTGTTGAGAGGCTATGAGAGATAAAATTGGGCGCAGATCAAAGTTGACATCCACTGGTGATCTGGCATTTTGTCTTAAGTCTCAATGGGTGGGTGATATCCTGCACTACCAGCCCTTACGGTAAACAAATCTCCTGCGTATCCTAGTAAATGAGTACATTTCCATACCAGGCCACTGCTCATCACCAGCTCCTATTGTTTTATAATAAACAACGCTTTAATAATTGTTCCTGGCATGAGGGCAGCACCAGCTACTATTGTTCTGTTAGATTGAAAGGATGCAGAGGTCAGATCGCTGACAGGTTTTGGCCCGGTGTGTCATTTATGAGGCATCCAGGCGGCGTTCAGTCCTTCCTGACTGTCTAGGGTGGGTTGTTTCCTTGGCACTTTGAGTGAGACAGACGGGAACGTACAGTGTGTTGCCAGACAAACACAGTTTGCTCCCCCACTCACTTTCCCCAGAAATACAAAAATGTGCCAGGGCTGAGTTTGGTTAAAAGGATAGCTCACCCAAAAATGCAAATTCGGTCCTTGTTTACTCACTTTTATGTTGTTTTGACCCACACATTTTTTTTCAAGGCAGAAATTAAGATATTTTTCATGAAATGAGACATTACTGTCCCTCCACCGAAAGTCCATGACACCAAAACTTTGATTCTTCACAAGCATCAACAAAACATTATATATAAGCAATCGATGGTAATAGAGTGGTTTAATCTGTATTTGCTTGATGCACAAGCTTACTGGTTCTTGCATGATACACAAGAATAAACATCACTGGTTCTCATGCATCAAGAAAGCATATTTGATCTTTATTTACCATATTTGTTGTGCTCCATGTATGTGCATTGATCAATATTCATGTGTGAATAAAAGCCTAAATTAAATCAGTTTACCATATAAAGTGATCATGTCTATTCAGAAGACTTCATAAGCATGATTCGTAGTTTTTTTTTTTTTTTGACAATGTCTTTATGAACTCTGTGAAGCATTAATGTTCTGATGTAATGGTCTTTCAACAGAGTAACAGAAAACATTCATTTGTTTCATAGATAAACGCAAGTCTTTGGAGTTTGGAACGACATGCGAGTAAGTAAATGGTGGTCATTTCATTTGAGTGAACTCTCCCTTTACCTTGCACTGTGCGCATATTCTTGCGAAATTTGATTGTACACCTATTACAGGACTATTATTCTGAATATAAACATATTAGGAAAATTCAAATGGGTGTTAACTGTGATATTGCTGAATGCAGCTGACAATACAGGCCTCAACAAGTTCATGGGCACCTGAAGCATGATTACTGTAATTGTCAGCAATAACAATGCACGATGGAGCAGACCGTATGACGTCAAAGAAGTTACGCAATTTTAAATCTGTTACCAGGTTTTTACCAGTGCCATAAGAAAATACTAAAAGGGTACAACATTCTTTTATAGGCAAATTATCCATAGGAAGAGAAAAATAATACATTATAGAACACCTGCTGCTGGTATGAAACAAAATATTATGTGAGTGCATGTTACAGTCTGTTGCAAAACAAGGCATAAAGAAGCAGCGACTCTTACCACATCACTAGCACTAGAGAAGTCATTGTTAAGCAAACTCTCCAAAGCCATCCAGCGAACGGGTCGGTTCTCATTGTCCCCGAGGCAGTGATAGTCCATGGGGAAGAGATCACGGGCCAGTTTAGCAAATGGCTGCAATATAACAGAGTGAAAAATTTAAGGGGGTCTGAATACTTTCCGTACCCACTGTATATATATATATTCTAATGCAAATGGATGATAAAGAATGCATGGAGAGAATAAATAAATGAAATGATTTACGCTTCATTCAATATTTTTCTTTTATTAATTTGGCAATTTATCAATGACATAAATGCGATAATGCACATCTGAACAGTCATTATCATAACAATTGCAATAATGACTGTTTAACTGTACATTATCTTTTTTTATAGCCAATGCCAATATGTAACACTTGGTGCAGCTTTATACTGACGCGTGAAGGACAGTTGATGTAAAATGGTAAATAGTAGGAGTACATGAGGTAAAAATGGAACTTACACACAGTTTCTGGCAGCCAGGTCTTTGTGAATAACCTCTCTCCGTGCCAGATAGCTCATCCCACATGAAATCTGTATTGCCATGTGGACCAGGTCTTGTTGAGAGATTGCCTGTGTGGGTAACACAAGAGAGAGAGTGGACTAAATGGTTATGTGACCAATAAGACATTTTAAGGGTCACTTGGAGCCTAATATACATTTTAATAAGAGAGGTCCAGCAAGAGAAACCAAAAGACACAAAAAGTGAGATGCATGACAAGTGGGTAAGCAGATGCTTGTGGTTATGCTTCACCTCTTTGGAAACCAGACTTGATGGAGCAACAAGTTCCTCTGCTGAATCTCATTTGGTAGGAAGAGTCTGGCATCTGATGTAATGACAGTTACCTCACTAAACGTAAACGTTCTTTAACTCTTTAGAGGGAGTGGCTCAACTGCAGGCATCCTTGTATAATCTATCTCGAGTCAGACACAACAAGAAACCCTGGGTGCTAAATGACAAGGTCATAACATGATGAGTGGCTTTTCAGATGAACTATACACAAGGCTTTAGAACAAAATAATTGCAGTGTATGACAAACTCGGGTGTCAGATAAGTTCGATGGTGCATGCTCATTCCTGTTTGTTCAGTGTGAATTTGGTTAGACTGAATTGTTTACTCAAGAGAGAAGACATGTCGAACATGTAGAAGGTAGGGATGGGTCAATGAGAGTGTATTTTAAATCTCAACCTTTTCAACTTTTTAGCTGTCATGCCTTAAGGGGGATCGATTTAGACACGTAACTTCTCTGAGAGGGTGTGCTTTAGTGTGCCAGCAGTTAACAGCAAGTGTGTTTCTGTCAACATGCTACACCCCTCTTTGAGAAGTCAAGATTGCAATTTATTCCCACTTGCAAATCACTCGAGAACAATGATTTAGTTAGAAATGCACAGATATTAAAATACTAATAAGCTGATCATTATAAATGTCCAATATTTCAGTGTAAAAAAATATAACTAAAAGCAGTTTTAAAATGCTACAAGTGAATTTAGGCATCACATTCTTTTTTATGTACAATATGGAAAATATTCATTTTGACTGCAAAGGTAATCTAAAAGTAGAAACAGGAGAATTACCATGCAAAATTAAGTATGCAACACTGGCTGATATACAATCATTTAAAAGTCTATTCTCACAATGGCTGCATTTATTTGATCTGAATATTGTGAAATATTATTAGAACTTAAATTGACTGTTTTCTGATGTGAATTGTAATTTATTCCCGTGATGTTAAAGTCTTCAGTGCCACATGATCCTTCAGAAATCATTCTAATATGATGATTTAGTGCTCAAGAAACTTTTTTTTTCTATATTTATGTTGAAAACATTTGAACGCAACTGAAATGTTCCCAGGTCCAGAGACGTAGTAAGGACATCGGTAAAACAGTCCATGTGACATCAGTGGCTCAACTTCAGTTTTTGAGCGCAACTACTTTTTGAGCGCAAAGAAAACAAAAAATAACATACTTTATTTAACAATGCTTCTCCCCCGAGTTACGTCTTCTGCCATTTTGGAGAGTACCCAAGAGTGTAATCGACATAATCAGCGTTGTTTACGTTCGGGAGAGAAAGTGCGCGCATGAACGTAATCTGCGTAACCAGCGTTGTTTACGCTTAGGGGAAAGCGTGCGTATGCATTGTGATACTCTCTAAAATGAAGAATTGTTGAATAAATTATGTTATTTTTGTTTTCTTTGAGCTCAAAAAGTATTCTCGTAGCTTCGCAAAACTGAAGTTGAGCCACTGATGTCACATGGACTGTTTTATCAATGTCCTTACTACGTTTCTGGACCTGGGAACATTACAGTTGCGTTGCGGTCAATGCAGGGTCTGAGAGCGCTCACATTTCATCAAAAATATCTTAATTTGTGTTCCGAAGATGAATGAAGGTCTTACAGGTTTGGAACAACATGAGGATGAGTAATTAATGACAGAATTTTCATTTTTGGGTGAACTATCCCTTTAATATTTTTTTGTGGAAACTGTAATGCATCTTTTTCATTAATCATTTATAAGTAGAACGATTCAAAATACGCCATTTATTTGAAATAGAAAACCATCAACAAGTCTCCACTGCTACTTTTGATCAACATAATGTGTCTTTGTGAAACAAAAGCATGTGGAAAAAAAACTACTCGAAATTCTGAATGGTCGTGGTGTATACACAAAATACAACAACACCAATACATCATACATGCATAGTTTATGCAGAAAATCTATACCCTATTTATTTGATTCCTCTACATTCAAGCATTGCTATTTATTTATTAAAAGCTGGTCTATGAGCAGTAATGCACATAGAATGCAATGTTGCACATCCCTAGGGCGTTAACTTTTAAAAACGGATCTCAGGGTCCTTGCATACTGCTCCATTCAGTCTGTCTCTGTCCAGATGTTTGATCAGCATCTGGTGGACAGGGTACAAGACCCTAAACCAGCCTAATTATACAGTGCTACCTTAAGACTGACTAGTCATTCAGACAGAGCCATTTTTCAAAGTATGTAGTTTTGCACAGACATACATCTAAGATTCAGTTCAGGTGAGAGGGGAACATTTTGGCAGTAAATACTAAAATAAATCATCCACTTTCAATGCCAAAATGCAGGGTATTAACTATAGCATGGGTAGTTTACATGATTTATGTTTTTCCAAAAAAAGACAATTGTGTATTGAGGCAGGAAGTATAACAACACTGCCACTACAAGCTTGGTCTTGAAGAGGAAAAATTGATAGCTTAAAGCACCCATTTAACCATTTTAAGAATACACTGGTCTGACTGATCGAATATATGTAATCTTGTCTTTGAAGAGGGTTCAGTGGCAGCTGAATGAAAGACAGCCCAGGGTTAACATCACAAAGGCTCGATTGTGAACAGTAAACTACTGTAAAGCACATATCATAGAAAGTTCACTCGATGTTGACAGAGGATCTGCACAATGAATTCACTGTTTAGAAGAAAGCAATTAAATCAGGATAATCTGAACACTCCAGGTGTTCTGCTGGAGGGTCTCTAATATAAACACCTGCCTTAGACTGATTTATAGCTAACAGCAGGAGGAGTGTCATTACGCTACTTAGCATTAGCTGAATTCACAACTGCTCAAAAATCACTCTCTGTGCAAATGTCGATGCAGTTTAAATGTTGCATGTTAAATAAAACAACCAGTAAAATAAGTGTGCTGTTTTTTTCAAATAAATTAATATCAGAGCAATGAAGGAGTGCTCTGATATCTATCAAACTCTCTTTGATTATACAAACATAAATGGATTAGGTAGACTTGGTCAAGTTTATTGTGGCAGTTATGTCATTTAAAAAAAAAAAGGCAAAATGTCACTTAAAAATAAAATAAAAATAAATAAAATAAAAATACATTTGTGGAAGTCTTACCTGTGGGTTGTTGGCCTCAGCAAGCTTACATTGGCGCAGGAAAAGCTTAAGATTTCCCCAGTTCATATAGGGCAACAGGACCATGGGCTTCTCACCATCTTCTATACAAACATGGCTGATGGGTAACAGGTTCCTAAGAGTGAATAGACCAAAAAAATAGAAAAATAGGTTAAGATTTAAAACACATTTCTGCACATTTAATGAGTGGGGACTGGGGAATACAATTAAAACAAGAATTAGAGAAATTACACTGTTATTAGATTCCCACTAGCAATGATACACAAAGTAGACAGGAAGTGACATGTTACCCTAAGGTACTTGGTCTGTACAAGACTAATTTCAATCAGTGATTCATTTCTGACGAGGAAAAATTTAAGTCACGGGCTGCGCTGACCGTTTAACCTCAGACACGGGTCTGCGTGACTGCAAAGCTCGGAACGCTCAGGACAGGATATGGGTCTGAGCCCATCCCAAAAGGCAACCAAGCGGGAAACAGTAAAATCTAAACAGAATGTTTGACCTCAGGGCTGTTGTAATGCTGCTATATTAATATCAGGAAAATGATTATGAATAAAGATGAAGAGATATTAAATATGATGTGAAGTGATACTAATAGATGAACACCAGGATTACAAAGTTAGTATTCAGTTTAAAATTAAATTTTCATTGCATTGTTCATGTCAAAAGTACAGTATATTAATTTTGTTTGTATTTTTTTCAGTATGAATATTTTTAGTTTTCATAGGTTTCAGTAGTTTTCATCAAAAAATAGATAACCAATGGCCAATAGATGGCTGATATAAAAATTATGTCTTTTTCTAAATAAAATTAAAAAGACAAAAAAAAAAGTGAATTTAGGCATCACAACAATATAATGTACAATAAAAAATAGATTTTAAACATTCAGTAAAAATTATATTGAACTGTTCAACAACAATTCGTTTTTTTAAAAGATCAACTTTACACTTAAGACTCACTTCAAGTTACTCTGAAATATAAATTACTGATACATTTCTAATATCTGTTGATATTAGATAGCCAATGTGGTACCAGTAAGCCTCTATATTAGTGTAAATAAAATGCCCGGGCCTTGGATCCAGAACTGGATTTGTTCAGATCTTTTGTCAGACAGCCAACACCAGAACTAGTCACTGGATTTGTGAAGTGTATTTTAGTGATCTATTTACACTAGTTTTTGTCTTAATAATAGATAGTTATAGTTAACAGTGATATGAAGACACAAAGTGATTAACAATGATGGCACAAAGTGATTTATAAGAATAGTTCATAAGAAATGCAGAATGTCTGAAACCACATGCATTTCTATGAAGGAAACTTGGTAAACAAGAATGCGCTAATAAAGAGAGAACACAGAAGATGACAGTAACTCACACAGCAGAGGAAGTGTGTAGATAAGTAGACATAGAAGTGTCATAGCTGCAACTGTGGTCATCATATTGCGGTCACAACATTCAAACATTACACAACATGCTTCCACTGTGGACAGGGTAATTTACCTTTCATGAAAGTATGGTCATTTATATTTATATACACAAGTATATTATGTCATCATTCTTGAAACCTCTAATCAGCATGTGTGTTTGATGACGTTATAGGGATTTTTTGTTATGTGAAGTGAACTTCTATAGGTATTCTGCCCTCAAAATGTAAGAAACCCCTGATAAGGTCCCTTTGATTCAAAACACATCTATGGCAAGCTTTGTTCATATATGAAAGGATTGGATTAAAGCTGAAGTTTAACACACACACACACACATATATACATATATACAGTGGGTACGGAAAGTATTCAGACCCCCTTAAATTTTTCACTCTTTGTTATATTGCAGCCATTTGCTAAAATCATTTATATATATATATATATATATATATATATATATATATATACGTATATATAGTAAATACAACACAAATGATTCTGCACAAAACTCAGTTCAGGATTACTTTTGCAAATTATAGAAAAATGCTATAATAGGAGAATGACACAGCAGATTTTGCAATAGAGCAAGTTCTTCAAGCGTCAAGAAAGCAGCACATGGTGGCTGTAACTCACCTGTGGTGAAGGCCCCGTAGTTTACAGCTTTCTGTAAGCATCATGGTCACCTGTACCTCTGAGGCGTGATCTGCACAGCCAAATGCAAGAACAAAGAGTCAGGGATGTGTGACGCAAACCTGAACAACCCAATCTTGAGGGAAATTTGAGAAAATCAACTGACAGTCTTCTCATCCCTCCACACACCAATCAAAACAAAGTAAACCCTCAAAGATCTGGAAAAAGCCAGATCCTAAATGTCAAGCAGCACTAAAGGATAGAGGAAATATTTGAACATTTAGTCAAATTCATTAGCTATGTTTCCACTCAACTAATTGTGGTATATCGCATAAAAAAAAACGCTGGATGGAAACGCCAAGATGTGCATAAATTCTAAAAATGCGCATTAAAAAAAAAAAAACGTATGCACTCAACTAAATAGGATAAATTTCTTATCCGGTAAGAAAACATGCGCATAAACTATGATGGAAACACTTTTACC